GTTAAAAATATCCTGCAAATGATAGATGATAGAATGGTTCATAGGAATTTGCTTAATTGCAACCAACTCCAGATAATCACCAATTTCGCGCAATTGTCTCAATAAACCTTCTAAGCTGTCAAGTTGAGAACTTATGCGATGAGATAGTGTGTCTACATTTGTCTCCCTGATATCCCTGAGAGAAAGAAAAATGAGTAAAAATACGGTTATCAATGATTACGAAGGCAAAAAGTTACTTGCCAGAAAAAAGCTCACCGGAGTAAATGCTCGACACCTACTTCCTCCGCCTCCTCGGCCCCAATCTCCGAAGTCAAATGATCAAAAGTCTTACACGTTGGTGTACCATCCTAGATTTGATAAAAGTATATATTTAAAGTGGAAATAATTTTTTTAGTAATACTCATATGCATAGTGCAAGTAAATACATTTGGTGGGAAACAATAAATAAACTAACATCATGAACCTCTTCTACGGCTATATAAGCCTCTGTAGGCAAGCCATCGCTTTCCTTTTTTTTGACATCAACGACCACCAGGACGGAGTTGGGGTCATATTTGCGAAATAACTCGTTCATATTGATGTCATTTGGGCAAAGTTTAGGTCCAGAATGATACCAACCAACGATTTTTTCCCTAGCTACAGCAAATAAAAATAATAAATAGCTTGCCATTAACTTTCTTGAACATCGAAAACATATTCTCAAGATAATCATGATCCAAAAACCAGACATCCGGGTCTGATGGATCTTCCTCAAAGGGAACTACGTTTTATGAGTACAAAATATATTTACCGGCAAAACAGTTACTAACATCTAATGTTGACCCTCTAAGGGCTCCAAGAAGGACGCCGACTACTCGTTTTTGACCAACAGGCGCTTTGCCCATTCTATTATAATGATCAACAACCCCGAGGAGTACAAGTGGATGAACCAGAACCTTCTTTATCTTCGCTGAATCATGTGAAACCTGGTGTCCTTCCGATTCATTGATTTTAGAAGTAGCAGTCTAAACGAATAAGGAATAACACATTACCATCAGGCAGAATGATTAATGCAATTTCAAATCACGCTCTACTAAAAATTGTCTGTATAGGCTCATAAATTTTGTTCTTATATATTATTTTTTGTTATTTTTTATTTCTGGTTATTAAATATATACATATATAATAGGCGACAATTAAGTTCACGCTAATAGATAATGCGCAGATATGCATCCACTCCGGCAGTTGCCCTTAGGTGTTGTTCAGATTCATTCATTAACGACGA